GTTCAGATAGCGACCAGAGAATCAGTCCTTTTGGGGTCTGCAGGGGTAGCTGTGCTACGGAACAGTACAACTTCTCGAGAGAGAGTATCACATTCTCATGCCTTTATGTTTGTAGGTGCACTTACATGCAATCTATTTACTGGAAATGAGAATTTTGTGGCTAAATACCAAACATGGGCTCTAAAAATTCACCCTATGAATCCCCTAATTTCAAAAATGGAAAGCTGAAAATAGCTTTAAGTCAGGAGAAAGGAAACCTGCAATTCCTCAGGCATTCTGAGTAATCGTATGAGCTGTAATTGAAAATCCCTCATGCAATGTGACCTTGTTTGAATTAATTGGTTTTGGAATTAGTGCTCAATAGTTCAGTAAATATGGAATTCTCTGAAGTTTACTCATTGCCAAGCAGAGTCCTACTGGCTGAGAGAAAAGTAACTGGGCAAAAGACAGTTCCCTACTTCAAATCTTTTTCAGTGGACCCTTTCATAAGAGTTTAGTAGAGCTACCTACTATGAATTAGATAAAAGTAGGTGCATATACAACCGATCTGACAGGTTTGCATTATGCTACGTTTTCTAGAAAACTCAAGTCATCATAATGCAGTGTACTGGCCACTTAAGGCTAGTAACTATATCTGCTGAGATCAGCAGTACTTCATGCTAAGTTTCTCTCAAGATCAGCCTGAAATCCCTGAAACAGGAGAAGTGATCTTGGACCGACACTTAACATAGCTCAGAAATCCAGCATGCCTTTATGTACCACAACCCAATCACCGTTGTGCTGAAGTCCATCATAAGATGGATTTTTTCTGTCATTAATCAATTAATTAAAAAATACAGTTGTAGCCAAAAAACTTGGGTTACAGGAAAATGTGAAGTAGTTTTAAGAAACTGAAAATGATGCTCCCTTTTATTCATCAGCCTAAAAACTAAAGAACTTAACTGAGGCCACTCAGTCAGTGCTTGTTGCTGGAGAAGGACTTCATACCTCTGACTGGAGCGCTTCAGTTCCTCCTTACAGGATATTTAGTTTTTTCTGCTTTAGCTGTTTCAATTTGCATATAAAAGCAATATTCACTGAGCAGACATCCCACCTGACGGGTGAGTGTCCTGAGCAGCAGGCTAGAGCAGCAGTCTCTCTCAATAAAGGTGAAAGTGTTTTATACAATGTATTATAATGCCATCAGGAGAAACAGAGTGTGCCCCCCACATCTGAACAGACGATAACCTAATGGTCAAGTTATCCTGGATGGCCAAAAGTGCAAGTACCAGATTACTGTGTCTCAGAGAAGGGATTTTAACATGCTCTTCTGCTTCACAACAGACCACCCTAACTGCTACCTCCAGTATCATTGCAATCCAGTAAGTATTTCTGCATTCATGGTAAAACCAAAGAATATTTTATATCTGTGAGGAAACATCCTGAAATATTTTATAATATATGGAGTAAGTCATATACTTAGGACTCTCTCTACATACACGACATGTAACAAAAATGTTGACCTTCTGAGGCAAAGGAGAAATGAGGGAGAGGGTAGTTAACATCTTCCAGACCTCCTCGCTCGTTATGTTTCCATGGTACAATCCAGTGTTGTACCAGGGTATTTGAATGACTTTTCAGTAAGACAACCTAGGTATTGGAGGTGGGATAACACATTACTGCAGCACTGTTCCTAGCCTAGAGCACTCTGTTTCCAAGAGGACTATACAGCCGGGGCTCACTATGCGCTGAGCTGGTGGTGACACAGCTCCGATACCTCAGGTAGTTGCATACCTCCCCGCAGCACTCGCTACACTACCCAGACATTACTAGGACGGAGCCTTCCAAGCTGACAGCATAGCATACATACGTGCAGATATCCTTAGACAATAGGGAACTGAGTGCATACTACCTGGAGAAGTGACCCAGATTTTATGAACTCTTCCTGAAAAGTGAAGCATTGCTTGCAAGAATAGCAGAGATGTAAGGCAGTAGTAGTTAGGATGACTGCTGCACTCTGTGACTTCCCATTCAGGAAATTACATGTTGTCTGTGATGGAGGGACAGGGTGGGAGGCAGCAGCAGCTGGAGCTGTATTTTCTCAGCTGTGCATCTGACAGCTGCAACTGGATACAGTTCAGAGACAGAAAGCACACGCTGTCATTTAGGGCTTTTAACATGAAGTATTTTTTACTGGGTTCATTATCTCTTTACAAATTGAAACCGGATGGCTAGAAATGCCCTAACCATAATGAAATATGAGTCCTAGCAGGGGTCACACAGAGTCCAGGGCTAGCTTACAGTGTGCCAGCAATGCTGGCTGTCTCCTGTGAATTGTCACTTGTCTCACTCTTTTACACCTGGGGCAACAGGCAGCGTCCTGTGTCTTGTTACACACTCTCCATAAGAGATGGAGAAGCCCAGTTCCACAAATGATTAAACTACGTGGGTCAGTGCAAAAGTCGTATGTTCATTAGCACCATAGATACTACCAATGAACCATTGGGCTTTCTCTGTAATGTTGTATATATTTAAGAAGAGCTAGTTACTGGTAATTCTTTTTTCATCTATTAGAAAACCCTGTTAACAGAGTCCACTACTAATGTTCCACATAATACTCATCATAATCGCAACATTCCTACCTTCTGAAAGCTGTTAATGCATCTAGGAACATTTTAGGAAACTACATGCTTTAAATATGTATTCCATCTTTTTGTAATTGAATTCATGGATCAAATATTATATTTTTTTATTTTGGATTTGCATGTTTAGTTACATTAATTAATTTTTAGCTAAGCCTGTGTGTTATGATTTAATTGCTTTACAACATCGATAAAAGGTAGTCATGACCTATATCACTAAAATTTCAAGTAATAATGAAATTGCAATGCCTGTTAATTTTCTAAGAAATTGCTTTAGTTTCTTTGCCAAGAAGAGTTTGTTACATCAGAAGCAAAAAAGGAATTAATGTAATGTAATTTTCTCAAGAATTCAAAAGACTGAATTGGAACTGAAGGCTGATGTGAAACTTCAACCTTTTTGACATTTATTTGAATGAAGCCAGTATGAATGTAAAATATCTGCCAACATCATTTTCACATTTCAGGCAACTGCTTCTTTTAAAATTTTCAGAGATGGCTGGAGAGGTAAGATATTTTTAGTTATATTAATGATAGGAAATGAAGCATCTCCCTCCGAAGTGATGGGGGCTGAAAAGAGAAATATGTAAAAGTTACTCCTAGGGTTTTAAGAAGAAGAACTTATTTGGCAACTGATATTTTCAATTAATTGTGAATCACATAATCCTCACTCTTCTTGTAAATCAGATAAATATTTCTAATTTGAATATTTATCTTACATAGAAGCTGAGGACAAACTTGCTCAGTGGTGCAGAGATAATATTTTGAATATCGAACCACACTCATAGGCTAGGAAACAGTTTTGGCTCAGTAAAACATCTCAAATCTTTTTTCTCCACAGTGTCAATATCACCTCAGCACAACAAAGCAGAAAGATTATGTATTTGGGCAAGAAAATCTACTTGAAAAATCATTTCTGAGATGAGGGAGAAGCCATGTATGAAGCAAAGGTTAAAGTTTTCAAAACCACAGTACTTAGCAGACTGCCAATCAATGCAAAACATTTTTCATACGTATGAAAACACTGGGATGCAAACATATTTACTGCCTAATCTGGTTATTTTCCCAAACATCATCTACTACTCAGCTTTGTTGCTCTAGAGAAAATAAAATAAATTCCTTTCAGTGAGAATTTTGGGCTTATCTAGCATATAAACTCAAGACAGCTTACATTAAAACCAGTCAACTTGGTAACCAAAGTAATTCTGAAAGTATTCCAATTCAGAACCTGGAATCAGACACCAAAATAGATATTTAGATGTGTCTTTTGCCATGGAAGATTTCTTCATAATCACCATGTAATACTATATGACAAAGATGAAAATTAGTCTCTTGCATCTTGTTTTATATCATGATAGCATCTCTATTGAAAAAGGATTGAAACATCCCTAGAGGTGGCACTGTAAGCCACAACTTCTGATTTTACACAAAGTGATGTATAGCAATTAAAATACTATGCTTAAGATAAAATAACATATTATGCTACTTCTGGAATGCAAATTCAGCTTGCTTCCTTTCTAAGCTCCCACTGTTCTGTTATACAACAGATGTGTCAAGCAAATGATTTTAATGCATGATACATTTTGACTTTTATTTTTACCTTTTGTAGATGGGTAGCTTGCACTGCAATTTAATAGTATGTGGTAAGGACAATATCATAATTAGGGACTGACATTGACATATTTGGAAACATAAAAGTGAATTTGGATCACTTAACAAAGAATACATATTTGCTATAGATTTTATTTTAGTTATTTAACTGCTAGCTGTGCAATCGTTTCTCTACTAATACTAAAAGCTAATATTTAAAAGGAATAAAGCTATCATCTTTGTTAAGCAACTGATAAGAGAAAAGAAAGTTTCCAGAAGAATGTTAAAAGATCCTAAAAGTGAGTGGTATAACAATGAATGCTAATGGTTACTGATGAGCAACAGCAGATGTGTGAAGCTTGCCATAATGTTTATGATTCAGTGTATTGATACAACTGGTTACACCTTTTCTAAAAGTAATTAATTAATTCCCTGTTGAGCTAATTGCAACTGATGTCATTTAGATCAATTACTTGACAGATGAAAAATACCTACATGTCTAACAATATCTAAATGATACCCTTTGCATCTTTGTATTTGCATGTGGACTACTGTATGTATGGGAAATGGAGGTCAAACGCCCAGGTCCGTTATATTGTGCTTGCAGGATTCTCCCCAGAAGGAGCTTATTCCAAGCTGTAGCCACAACAGTATACCATTACAAACCTAGGAATACTGGTAAAAATATCAATATGCAGGGAAATTGTTTCCAGTGTCAAACATCCTTTCACAAAACAACATGACATATTTTTGCATGCAGAACAGAGGAAGGATCAGTGTAGATCTGCTTACCTGTGGTTGACCTGATAGTTGAGGTGATGTTGGAAGATGCCATCGCAGGTATACATTCATCATCTTGGGAATAGCCTGCCTGAATGGCACGCAAGTAACTGTGGCTTCTTGTTCGGAAACATCCAGGGAGGTCAAGGGCATCCATTGCCTGAGCTTCAACTTCACTAAACACTGATTCACACACCGATTCAAATTGCCCATTAACCTCTGCTTCGCTCATCTGAATAAACAACAACAATGCATTTGATTTTTGACTTGCTTTTTTGTGATCATCACGGCCTCAACATCTCAAATGGACACCTGTACATTGATGAAGAACTGTTTTAGCAAATAGTTAAAATGTAGTAATCCCTTCTGATCACATTCACATTTTTTTAAATTTACATCAGCTGTTTGTATGTATATATATATATGTACATCACACATGCTATACAATTTATTTTACATTTAATATCTTTTGGTATATTCAAAGGATTGTAAATACATGATTTAATGGTAACCAATAAGATCACTCTGCGCTAGTAGACATGCCTGTTCTGCCAGGATAGGAGAACAGAGATCAGCTATACTAATACTAGCCCTGAAACGGTGAAAGTGGATTGCCTGGGTTCCTCACTTATCAGCAAGGTTACTAGTCATGTGGACATTTAGCCTGTGTGGCGGGTTGTTGTCTTCCTCTCACTATAGGGGGCTCAAGGAAGTATCTCATACTTGAAGATGTGTAAGTTCAGAGGAGGTGATGCTCCTGAAAGGTTTGAGAAATATTGCAGCTAGAGTTGTGTCCAGTGAAGCATGTGAAAGAATAACCATTGTCTGAATAGAGTGAAAAGTGGTTAGACAAGAAAGTAATGCTTGGACCACTTTTAGCTGAGAAGGGTCCTAAACCAAACTGTTTTCCTGGTTAACTGGGTTAGCCATTCAGCTAATGCCACCTTTTCTTTAGCAGCATTATTAGGTGTGCTGCGGAACGCTGCCTATCAGAGCTCCCTAGATGCTCCTGCCTGCATCACCCACCAGGCTGGCCCTGTGGGGGATTTCAGCACCACCCTCCAGATCCCTGCAGGGCTTAGGCAGGAGCCAGCATCTACCTGCTGACCCTGCCCTGCAGGCTGGGCGTGATGCAAAACTGTACATTTTCAGATAGCTTTCCTGATAAACAGGTTTTAGGCAGGCTGACCGGCTTAAGGAACCTCTCAGTAGGCAGCTTTGTATTGCAGTTTTGAAGATGAGTGCCTAAATTCTACCTACATCTTTTTTAACAGGTTCTCTGAAGTCATCCCTACCTACCTGTAAATGTACTTGAATAAATAAAAATTATGTTTATCCAAAATCAGATTGGAAGTTAACACTGGACAGACAAGTGCATGACCTCCTGATAATAAGTTTTTTAAAAAGAGAGTGCTAGAAATCAGAATCAGAATAAATACCAAGTTAAATTTGTATCATCACTAAACAGCACATCCAGTTGATATTCCTTTTTCTATGTGGCTGCTAAATGCATTTTTCATTATTACTCTTCCTAGTACATTATTCATTATGGAAACAGCGTGAGTGCAAATGTTTCAAATGTTTTAGGATTTTGATTAAGTAAATGGAAATTTCATACGGAACTTCTGACGATAATGAATAACTGATATTTTAATTTCATGTAAGACATTTTGGCTACTAAATGTCTTCTGAAAGGAATTACATTACCCTTCATAAAACTTGCTTCTAATAAAGTTAAGTAGACTAATGCAATCTTGAAAAGATTAAAAAAAAGGATCTTGCTCTGAAATATTTTGCATACATCACTGATCGGGAAATTTATGATAATGTAGTCCATAAACACTTTAAGTCCTAATCACCCCTTTCAAACTAAGGTCATTGACAACAGAAAAATGAAAGCTTTAAAACTTAAATTAAAAACATAAGCCACGGAACCCGGCATCTTTCTCAACTCTGCCCTTGGTCAAAAATGAAAAAGGAAGGAACTCACAAAAAAAAAAAAAAAAAAAAAAAAGGCATTAAAATAGCCACAAATCATACAAACTGCTGTTACGTAGATGGGACAAGAAGATGATGCTGTCATGGAAAAAGAACGGGAAACAGCAAAGGTTTAGGACTTGTTATTTTAATACTTTTACTTTGTATAGTATCTATTAAATGCATTTATTACTGGTCTGGAAACAGCTGGACTGTGAGGTAGGAAGTATGTGGTTGACACAAAATTATGTGGGTTAGTGAGGACAGAAAAAGAAAGTAAGGAACTATATCCAGCAGGTTTAGTTAATCTGGCCAGTTGAACAATCTACCTGAAATGAAATCTATAGTGGACATCTTTCCAGGTAATGCACATTGGAATGAAGAATTTTAGCCACTGCTGAAACCAATTAGTCATCACGGACAGCTCAGTGAACATCTCTGTGCACAGACATGGTCAAAGAGGTAGAAGATGTTAGAATAGTTCTGTATTATAGCATCGTTAGGTGACAGCCAATAGTACTTGCTTTCACTGCAGGATCTAATTCTTGTGAAAATTTCTGAAAACTGAAGCGTAATAAAAATAGAAAATAACCAAACCAGAGTAATGAAACTAAGGCATGAGAATGATGGGGACAGGTTTCACAAGGGAGCTATGAAAAATAATGAAAGGTTTGGAAAATGACTGTCTGTCTGTTTCTAATTCTGATGTGTGCTATACAGGATTATACTTAGGTTTATCCCACATAAATTAAGGAATTTGACTGAAGGGTATTAGTCACGTGACTAGTCTCTCCCCACTCTCTACAGCCAGTGGAGACTGACAAGCATTTCCAGAGGGCTCTCAGCCCACTTGGGATGTGCATTGTCCTGGAAGAAACTCTTTCACTCCATTAACTACAGAGGAAGCTATAGTTGTTGCCTCAGTTAAAAGCCTCGTTAGATGAGTTGAATCCAGGCCTGAATAGCCATGCAATACAAATTGAATGTGAATGAATATAAAATTCCCTTAAAAAGATTTTTTTTTTAACATAGCCACTCTGCAGAATTAGCTACTATACCCTTAGGTGCCTCACTAAATCATGAAAGAAAAATAAGGTAACATATGTCTGAGAAGAGGGCAGAGCCCACCTGTCATGAAGCAACACAGGGAAGAAATGTCAGGACCAATGAACATTAGAAACATTGGAAATGTTATGTAAAGTCTTCTTCTAAACAAAACACACACATACTTTATGAGGCTGCTTGCACTTCAGGCCTGATTCAGATCTCACTTCAACATGAATTAGTACAAACTAACCAACCAACATAAAGCCAGCAGGGTGGAAAAATGTCTCTTTTCAGAAGTCCCCATACATAGAATAATCGATGGGACTTATTCTTTCACCGAAGAAAAGTGAGGGATTGAGTTTAGAGATGAATCATGGCTCCTTTGGAGGATAATTATTTCAATCTATATCGTAATCTGGCAACTCACATTTACTGAACTCAGAGTAGATATTTTCAGAGGATGGTTGTTGTAGCTGAGTGTGACTCATGCTCAGTCTGAATCTTCTTAACATTTAAATATTTAATATAGACTGAAAATTAAAAATAAATGGAAAATAATATGTGTGATAGTGTCCCTTTGCTTCTAGCATTCAGTACTTTTCTTGAAATTTTGAACGAGGGATACATTCCTTAGAACTGAATTACTTTGACAATTTACATCCTCAGTTTGATAAAAAAAACGACCTAAAACCATCCACTAGTAACAACTCTCGCATCTGTGATTAACCTATAAGAAAAGTTATAACAAGAATTTCCCACCTGACTAACACAGCTGGCCTGACTGAGCGTGCTCACTGCTCTCATATAGCTCTGATTCCTTGAGCGAAACTTTGGGGAATTGTAGTTTGCAGAGGGATCCAGGTTGTGACCCCCAGGCACGTCACTTGCAGTTTGAAGGTAGCTCTGACTACAAAGGAAAGAGGAAGAAAAAAGGAAAAGGTGTAAAACTACAGATGGAATCAATTAGGACACTGAAGACAGTAATTTGTATGAGACTCACAAATGCATTCCCCAGAGTCCAAATCGCTCTCTGTGTAAAGCATCATAGATCTGTTGTAGTCAAACACCTTAGCACAAGCAGAGAATCTGTCTGCAGTTCTGCTACCTAGATGATATGAAATTTTAAGTCTTTGCTGTATTTAAACATCATCAATGCTCCTGGCTATTAATGTTGATCTTTAGTAAAAGAGAATGTCTAGGTCTCTAGGTCAACAGGAACAAGAACCAGAGCTAAAGCACAAACCAAAGTAACTAAAAATCTTTCTTCATAGATAAAATCTGCTACTTGTCATCTGGTTTTCATCAGGGTGTTAGGCATCAAGAGACCTTTTATCTTCAAAGCATTGATGTATTTTTCCAAAAGATAAAAATATCCCATGTTCAGCTAAAAAAATAGATTAATCAAGTTACTTGGAGCAACTGCGTATTTGGATGAATGGGACCTTAACACCACACTGATCCCCTTTTGGTATGCCTTCACTACAACGGTATGTTAGTCTTCATGTTTTATGTTAAATATATTGATTATCATTCCAGGAAAATAAATAAGCCTAAGAAAAGAACAGTAGTTTGCTTTGAATACAAAATTCTAAAAAATGAAGGTCGCAAATAAGGTTAACCAGAGTTATCAGAAAATGAGATTTTTAGAAGTCAGGTGACACTCATCCCTAGACATCAATGTGTAAACTAATTAATATTTCAGAAAATGTTGTGTTTTGTGTGGTACATAAGCAGTTTCTGTATTTATTCTTTAACAGTGGCTTTAATAAACACACAATTTCTGGGAACAATAGATTTGTGCCAGTTGAATGTCTGTCAATATTGGTGATACAGTTATTTCAAGCTGAGCTGGCAGAGTTACTCAGCCCAGCAGTGGCTGTGACACACGCTCGGGCTGTCAGTAATTTCTTTGTGAAGGAGGAAGCTTCCTCTCTGGAAGGACCAGACCACTCAGTGAATGAGAAGGTTCAACTACTGGTGCAAAATGAGGCACAAACCAGGACCTTGTTTCTTAGACCATGTTTATCAAACATTGAGCGTGACCATAGGCTGGACTCAGCCTTCCTTGCTAAGTGGACACAAGCTGAGTTTGGGCTGGATGCAATCCCCAGAGAGTACTCAGGAAGGGATCTCAGACCTTTTATCATGGCTTTGACTAGGGAAGCAAATAGAAACATAGAATAGTTTGGGTCGGAAGGGACCTCAAAGATCACCTAGTTCCAACCCCAAATAGTGTTGAGCTCCATCTGCCTGTGTGGCCATGTCCTTTGATGTTGGACATGTGATGACACAGGGTCCCCTCACATCACCAGCTGCAAGAGCAGATGTGATTTATAAACCCCCCAACCTTATACTTGGGAGATCTGTTCTCAAGCACTTCCATGTGTTCTCCCTGACCTGGCCATCTCAGGGCCAACACAGACGGACCCTTACTTCCCCAGTGCATCTGCCAATAGCTGGGCTATCTGCTCTTCTAAGATAGAATGCTTTAGGATCATAGAATCATTAGGATGGATTAGACCTCTGAGATCATCAAGTCCAACTGTTGACCCAACACCACCATGCCCACTAAACAACATCCGGAAGTGCCATATCTACATGTGTTTTGAACACCTTCAGGGATGGTGACTCCACTATTTCCCTGGAAGTCCTTTCTTCTTCTTCAGTAAAAAAGGACAGGTTTTGTTTTCATCTTGGATCAAGGTAGGCATTTTTTTTAATTCTTAAGAAATTTCTCTGGAGAAAAAAACATCTTTTTCTTCCTGTCTTTTTGTGCAGTGCCTTCTACAGAATAACTCTGTAACCTCATGACAGAGGTAAACTATGTGGAAACTGTGCTGTAACTGTTAAAACTAAGATGAAAATGTATGAGATTGATGCAGGCATGTGATCAGAGGTCAAGTCATTACAGTCACAGTGATTTGCAGATTAAGATAGCTGCTTGACAGTGGGTCTAATTTGGTTTTAGATGATGAAAATAAGAACTGTAGCAGCATTTTTTTTTTCCTATAGGTATGAAAACAAATAGATTAGTTGAAGTGGTGTAGACCTTCTCTATCTATATTTAGTTGATGGATGTAACTAAAGCTTCTTTTCTCTATAGGAAGCAGGCTGATGACTGTCACCTGCTTTGTGTCACTCCGATTCTTTGCATATGCTTTACTAAATCTGTCTGGTATTGTTAATTTATTAGGCGCATTCCCTCTGGACCTTCTCCTTGTCATGAGGTGGCAAAATCTGGGATTCTGAGTTCAGAAACAGTTTATGAAAGAGACGTTTGAGGTTTCTTCATTAAAACATGGGCTACATTAAAAAAAGATAGAAGCAATAGAATTAAATTATAAATTATTGATTGTTTTATAAACTTTTTAAAAAATAATTAATTTAAACTAGCTCCTAATGATGGTCTCCTTTGCTAAGTAATGTTCAACAATCTAGTATTTCATTATACACATACCTATTTCTTGTAGGGTACTGCTATCATTAAATATAATCAACAATTGCTACACCAACAATTTCTTAGGGAAAAAAGCCCATACCCCATGGTACTGCTAAGCAGCTGAGTTTCAATGGATGAGTTCGGACATTACCTGATGGTTAAATAATATTATATTTATCAGAGGAGAGCAATTGATTCATAAGACTGTAGCAAAATAAAAGAAATGTTACATATATTAGGCTGTAAAAGCAATTTCACATCCATTTGACTAATAATCTGAAATTTTCCTCATAATTTGTTTTCATTCCTAAGCTATACACTCGAAGTTGTCTTCTAGGATAAATGTGTCAATGCATGGTAAAAATGACAACCTTGCTATAAACATGATCCAGAACCAAAATGCCATAGATCCAAAAGTCATATGGGGAAGTTGTTCTCATACGTCATTATCTGTTGCCCAGGGAACTTCCATGCTTGTCAACAATGCTACAAAACAGACACCACATGTGACATTGGCAAATACTGGCTTTTTAATGGCATCCACTCTATGTATAAGCTTGGAAACAAAATTCTTGACCTTCTTTTCCAAAATGCCACAGCTTTATCACTTTGATAAAATAAAATAATTTTCTTTTATGCTCTGTAGTAGACGATCTTATATCTCAGCTGATCACTGAAGAAGAGCAAGACAAGCATGAGCACACGAGATGTTTTGACAGTTCATCTCCAGGACCACAAAACAAATACACACATTAACACCAGGGGTAACTCTAAGGTTTGGTACTGCAAAAAAGAGGAGCAGGATGAGACTAATAGAAAGAAATTAAATTGGTATGTCAGTTCTCTTCCCATTTGCTTTCACAAAGCGACAAAATCTTAGGACTAGTTTCCCCTTTAAAAGCTGTTCTTGCCCCCAAGGGTTGCTTTTCCTTTTCTGTTGGCTTCAGAGGAAGTCCAGGGCAGCTAGGAAGAGGTCTTAAATTTAATGAGAAGTATCTTAGCTGCAAGCAAGGCTCAAAGCCTAGAGAAGCTTTTGGGAATAAGGCAGTCCCATGTAATGACTTTACAGCTCTTGAGAACCTCTACTCTAAAAGCATAGCTTTAGGACTTCCAGTGAAGATAGCTAAATTTGCAACAGCACTTTCAGCACTCAGCAGATTGCCTGGGTGTATTCAGGGAGGAAAAGAACCTCATAACCACATAAAGTGAGCTATAGCATGGCATATTTATCTGGGACAATATATCTGATAGCATATCTGATATGTATCTGGAATAGCATGTCACCCTGATATAGAGTAAATGGGAAAGAAGTTAAGCTGCATATTCCAATAGCAAAAAATAGACAAAGAATAAGGCAAGAGGCAGCAGTCTAAAAAGAGAGTTCCTGCTTAGCAGTTTCTAAGAGTCTTGCCTCACAGCCTCACTTTTCTTGCATTCCTCTGATCTGCAAAGCCTCAAGCCTCTGCATCCAAACCTCACAGGCCCTCCTGCTCCTATCTGAAAGATGCCCCTTCCTCCAGCTGCAGAACTCACATTTACCAAAACCCCCAAGTATAGCTCTCCTTCTTTCTTGACCAACCCAGACCCTAATCCTTACTGCTCCTTAAAATCCTTTTAATTCCCAGCTCACGGTTGCCCTGCTCAAGATCTTCCAAAATACCATCACAGAAGCCAGCATTGGGCCACTTATCCTACTTCTGTCCTCTGCATATTTCAAAAATACACTTAACACCTCTATCTGTCAGCAGAGTCCAGATCATCCCTGCTGTTACTTTAGACCCACAAACAGCAAGACGAGCTAAACAAAAACAACCAAACAAAAAACCAAAAAACGATGATATTTTTAAATCCTTTGATTCCAGAAAACAAATTTCCTTTTGTGTTTTGCCATGTCTTGTAGCTGTCCTTAACAGGACTCAGTACAGTAAAAATGTAGGAAGAAGTTTAAGTTTACTGATACTGTAATCAAAAAGCATTAGGTAACATTTGACAAGAGATTTCAGTAGATGGAAGAACACATCTACATCTCCTTATCTTTTTCCTACTTATGCTATTGTAACAGGAGACTTGTAGATCTAGAGAGCTATTTAGAACATGTTTTAATGAAAGGAACAATCATGTTAGCCAATCCAATAGCTGCAATCAAGCACTAACTAATGCTAAGGGAAGGACTCATATTTCCTCATCTTTAGCTATCTATTATTTAGCCATCTATTTCCTCCTCTATTAACTGTGTATTTTTAAAAGGAGTAAGATAGTATATAGACTATTTTCTAGGCAGTAAATAGCTAACTTTGGTGGGTTTTTTTTTCCTGCATTCCATTGTTTTATACAACTTTTGGAAAGTTTATATGACCATGGGTACTGTCTGAAGCAGCCCAACGACTCCAGCGTATAGTGCTGGGGGATCCGAGGCATTTTTTTTTTGGTCTGTACCACAGCACCTTGTACCACTCACTTGACGTCTA